TTATATCTGTGTATAAGCTGTTTAGATTGTCAAAAATCCTGTGTTTTTAGGGTTATTAACAAAGTTTGTGTACTCAGACCAGTAATATTTGGGGTCACAAGTTTTTGCCATGGATATTCTGTGGGTCAGAAGATAAAAAGTTTGGGAACCACTGTATTAGACAACAAAATTAACTGAAATGGGCCTATCCCACATGAAATATTTACAAAATCAAGAAAGAAAACTTTGTCTTGCACAACGCTGTGCTCTTATTTTGAAAGCCACCGATTGTACGCTTGTGCTTGTTTCCGCTTTGTGAACCTATAACTTGACCAATTAGTGCGGTGGGCGGGGCCACGCTGGAACCTTGTCGAGCTCATTTCTCATCTCACGTTGAGTGTTGAAGAGAGTCCGTCCGCTGGTTCGGATACTAGAAGAAGTCAGGCGGAACTCGGGGTCCATTTTCGAAGTCGGGCTGCCCCATTCCTCTCACATGTGCTGACACAGCCCCAGGTATTACACGCATCCCGTCGGGCAGCGGAGGGGAACTCTCATTTAGCTGCTTTGGCATAATTTAGTAAGAAGAAGAAAAAGAAAACCAACAAGAGAGAGGAGAGAAGATGTTAATGAAGGAGTACAGGATATGTATGCCCCTCACGGTGGAGGAGGTGAGTTTTCTGCCAATTTCGGCTCTTTGTTTAATTGTTTTCCCCCCTCCAGGCTGACTGGAGGAGCTTCACAGACGACCTTGCCTTGCAGCTAACGCGCAGGGTTTGCTGTTTATAAACGTGTCTGCCTGCAAAGCATTTCTTATAAAGTATAAGAAATGTTTTTAAATCAACTCCGCGCGCTTCGCTGAAAAACAAAACAAAGTCTCATCTGCTCCTGTCCCTTTGTCCAAGCTTATCTTTTTTTTTTTAAACGTGGAAGCCTAAGATAAGCTGAAAAAAAAATCTGGCTGCTTTTAGTAGCTTGTTGTTTTCCACACTAGATCATTATCTGTTCAGCACCCTGTACACACACCTCTGCCTTGCTCCCATGTAAACACACTTGGAAGTCAAATGCAAATTGCATTTTATTAATTCAATCAAGCCCTAACTCGTGGCACATGACAGCACTAACACTGCACAGCGGTTGTCTCACCAACTTAACCGCATTTTCGTCCCAATAATTACTCCCTGCAGCACTGATTGATGGTCCCAACAAGAAAGAATGACCCATTGTTTTGGGATTCAATATTTGGTGCCGCTGCACAGGCTAAAATTAGCACAGGAGGACAATTAATTTCCTGTCCTGGTATGTGTACTGTACTCCTCTGCTGTGTCAATTATCACCCTCACCATTGCTGCTGCTTAGTCTGTTTTCATTTCCTGTGTTGGTTTTTCTTATAGCCAAAGGGTTGTTGTCAACAGGAATTATAGTGGACCACCAGTGGTCCTGATGTCCACCATCCTGCATGCTTCAGATCAGTGGTTCTTAACCTTTTTTGACGTACCGAATCCACCAGTTTCGTATGGGCATACACTGAACACTTTTTAGTGATTTACTCACCGGCCACTTTATTAGGTACACCTGTCCAACTGCTCGTTAACACTTAATTTCTAATCAGCCAATCACATGGCGGCAACTCGGTGCATTTAGGCATGTAGACATGGTCAAGACAATCTCCTGCAGTTCAAACCGAGCATCAGTATGGGGAAGAAAGGTGATTTGAGTGCCTTTGAAC